CCTCCTCCTCCTCCTCCTCCTCCTCCTCCTCCTCCTCCTCCTCCCCCTCCCCCTCCTCCCTCCTCGCCGCGTGTTGGCTCGTCACGTCCTGGTCCGCGTCTCGGCGGACGTCCGCGCGTGGCGCGCCGTGTCCGCACGCCACGTGCTGCGTCCTGCGCAGCGGCGCGGCTTGAGCTCTCCGCTCATCACTTGCCGTTCCTCGTGGCAGCACGAAGGCCTCGCATCCTGTGCCGAATCCTTGTCCTCCTCGACCTCCTCCTCCCCCGCGTGGAAAGGCGAAGCGGCGCCCCTGGGGCCCCTGGCGGTCCGCGGTCTCTCGGAGGGCGCCGGTCGGGCCCCTGCCCTCCTGCAGGGGAGCAGTGAGGCGGGGGCCCATGCGAACGGGGGGTCGGCCGGGGCGCCCGATCGCGAAGGATCCTGCAGCTGCAGGGGTGCACTGACCCGGGTCCTGCAGGAGCTTGCAGGATCCTGCACAAAGCCTGAGCTCATGTCCTTCGTTCTCCTCGCAGGGGATTGTGCAAGTCGTACCCCACAGCTCCTTTCCGGGCGTTGCGACGCTGACCCCTCATGCGGATGTCCTGTCCTGTCTTCCTCCTCCTTCTCCTCCTCCTCCTCCTCCTCCCTCATCCTACCTCATCATCATCCTCCTTCCTCCTCCCTCCTCCTCATCATCCTCCTCCTACTCCTCCTCCTCCTTCCGACTCCCCCTCACCCCTCCTCCTCCTCAACCTTTCCCTCCTCCTCATCCCCCTCCTCCTCCTCCTCTTCCTCTCCTCCTCCTCCTCCTCTTCCCTCCTCCCTCCTCTCTTCCTCCCTCCTCCCTCCTCCCTTGCGCTGGCTGGGGTCAGCAGAGATCCCCGACTGCCCGGTGCCCCGCCGCCGCCGCGTGCCGCGGAGCACCGCCTACCTTCCCCTCCCGCCCGGCGCGCTCCGCCCGCCGCCGGCCGCCCCTTGCCGTGCAGCTCGCCCCGCGGCCGCGGCTCTCCCGCATGCCGCCTGCGTGCCCTCCTGCGCGGCTGCCCCCCGCCGCCCCGCCGCCCTCCCCTCGTCTATGGGTAAGCTAAGGTATGTGTGTATACCCAGACCTCCAACGCATTGAAAGAATCAAGACGGAGGTTTCTCTCGGTTTTCGGCCTATAGGGGCCCTTGCCGGGCCCCGGGACCGTCAAAGAACGACTCAGGATGGAAAACCGGTTCTGGGGAATGGGTCGAGACTTCGGGGGACCGCGTATTGAACAAATCACGACATCGGATCTCTGGGAAGGCATGTATGTGTACATGTGTGTACAGCATCATCTATTCATAGATATACACATTTGTTTACATGTGTATATATATAGCATCTATACATATGTGATATAGATATATATATTAATTATATATATATATATATATAGATGTCGTATGTTTTTCAATGTTAATTGCATGCAGCATGCATGCATGCATGTATGTTTATGTATGTGTGTAGTAGGTATGTATGCAGTATGCATGTATATTAATATATATTATATAATATATATATATATATTTCCTCTTCCTATATTTTTATAAGGAACGGCGGGGGGAAAACCCGTCCCTGCCCCCACCACCCCTCAAAACCGGACTCCCGGGACCTGGGGCTTTGGGGCCCTCCGGACGGGCCTCGAAGGGGCCACCGGGCCTAGCAAGGCGTTTTGCCAAGGCTTCCGAGCACAGTTAAGGCGATCAGGGGGGTCATCGGAGACGTCCCAGAGACCCCCAAGACAGCACAAGAGCGCTCCAAGAGTGACCGACGTGACCTCAAGATGGCCCAAGAGGCCTCCAGGGCGGCCCCAAAGAGGCCTCCAAGAGCACTCCCAAGAAGGCCCCCCGAGGCAAAAATCATTGATTTTCTTTCGGTTTTTGGTGAATTTTGGGGTTCCGACGCTCTAAGACGGCGGTCTTCTTGGCGTCCGAAGCCGCCTGGGAGGCTCCCAAATCGCCCCACAACCATCCGAAAGGGCTTCCAGGCAGTCCAAGAGAGTCCCAAAACGGCACAACACGGGTCCAAGATGGCCTTCAGAGAGCCCCATGGCGGCCCAAGATGGCCCAAATACACCCTCCGAAGAATTCTAAATCGTGATTCGGTCGTTCAGGGAGACGGCGGTTGGAGGCAGGGTGGCCCGAGGAAGCCCCCGGAGGCCCCCAGAATACGCCCAGGAGGCCTCCAGAAGGCCTCAAGAAAGCCCGGAACAACTTTTGTGAGGCCCCTAGAGGCTCTCCAAGGAGGAGCCTCCGCAAAAAAGAGCTGAGGAGGATGGGGAGAATGCGCAGGGTTTGGCGAAAATAAGGAACAATAAGCATGGAGGAATAATAACGAATAACATCATTATGGCGGCGATGCCGGAAAAGGCAACCAGGAGTTATCGCTAAATTGTCGGCTTGACCTTCCTGCCATGCCGCCTGCATGCTAAACTTCAAGGACCAAGGTGCATGGCGCGAAGCGCCACCGCAGTCTTGTATATGTATATATATATATATATGTATATGTGTGTGTGGATGTTCCCAAATCAGTGCTTGCACTGAATGGGTCCTAGCGGAAAGGTTTCCCGCCGATTTGGGTAGTCGGCTGGGTTCCCGGGTTCCCGGTTCTGAGTTCCCGGGTTCCTGGTCATTTGTTCCGGGCTGGTTTCGGTGGGTTCCGGGTTCCAGGGCTCCCGGTCGATCTCTTTATCGATCTTTTGATCGATCCCATGTCGGGCGAAGAGAACTATGCACATGCACCGGTCCTGGCAAGGCCCATTTTTGACCCAGGATCGGTGCATATGCCTTCCTGGCCAAGGTAGGAGGGCGTATGCACCGATCCTGGGCTCAGGATGGGCCTGGCCAGAATCGGTGCATGTGCATAGTTCTTTTTCCTCTACCATGTCAAACCATCTACTGATTGGGGTTTTTCTCTGGTGTAATATACACGTGTCCGCCCGTCCCGCCTGTCCTGCCTGTCCTGCCCTTCTGCTCTGGGCAGCTCTTCGGTGCGATCCCGGTGGGCTCCGCTCGCGCCCCGGGGGTGGTATTGACGCCAGCTGGAGGAGGAGGAGGAGGAGGAGAGGAGGAGGAGGAGGAGGAGGAGGAGGAGGAGCAGTGAGAGGAAGAAGCTCGGGCGACGAAATCTATACATATCCACTGCCCCCTGGCCGGGCCTTTCCTGGGCCCAGGAGCTGTGTATACGCCCTCCTGGCTAAGCCAGGCGGGCGTGGCGTGTACACTGCTGCTGGGTTCAGGATGGCCCTGGCCAGGGAGCAGTGGATCTGTACAGACTTGGCTGCCCTGGAGGAGGAGGAGGAGGAGGAGGAGGAGGAGGAGGAGGAGGAGGAGGAGGAGGAGGAGGAGCAGCTCGAGCGTTTCATAATGGGGGGGCGGTGACCGGGGGGATGCCGAAAAGGGGCCCCGAGGAGCCCCAACGGGGCCCCCAGGGGCCCAGATGGTGCACGAGCTTATTAGCTGCCCTGATACGCCCGTGTTGCAAGGGCAGCACGTGGCGTGTTCAAAACGTACGTGCAAACACGCTGCGTATTGGCTCGGCACGTGCTGGTCCACGTTTTGGCGAACGTGACGCGCCAGACGTGCGCTCTCAGTCTACGTTTTGCGCTCCGTGTCGACACGCTGCGTGTTGCGTGTTGCGTATCGGGATTGTTAAGGGCACGACAGGCGCATCTCTCTGCACCAACGCCCAGGGAGCCGAGCGGAGGGGCAGCTGAGCAGGTGTGCAGCGGCGGCTTCGCACGGCGCTCTGGAGGGACAAATGGGCTCGCGCTCGCTTCATGCACCGTGGGTCTTCGTTCAGTGGCAGGAGGACTCAGGAGGCCTTTGTCGCACGCGGCTGGATTGGATCGATGTCGGTCGCCCTTCGCCGCCGCGCCGGATTCGGCTGAACGGGGGTCGCGGGAGGGGCTCCGCCCGCGCCCGAGGCGCCGCCCGCGTCTGGGGTTGGGTACCAAGTACCAGCGACGCGGGAAACCCAGTCGGTATGGCAGGACCATAGCGGGCGTCTTGCCCGCAGGTGGCGCGACGGCGCAGTCCCAGGGGCGTGAGGGCCAAGGAGAGTCCTCCAGCGGTGCACCGAGCTCGGGAGGCCCTCCTGAGGGTCAGCAGGGCTGCAACGTCGAAGAACGTCGCTCGTCGCTCAAGAGGGGGGACGGGAGAAGCTGCTCGACGAGGACCGAGACCAGCTCCTCTCGAGGATTGAAGTCGGGCTTGAGGGCAGTGCAGGAGTGAGTCGAATAGCGGAAAGTAGAGACGGAGGGGGCGGCGAAGAACCGCCATCTTCATTTGCCTTCTTTTCCTCGTCTTCTTCCTCCTCCGCCCGCAACAAAAACAGCAAAGCTTGCGTGGAGCCTAGAAAGAGCCACGGAGAGATATTGCGCAGTAGCTATGACGAGTACTACCACTTCTATTGGTGAGGTATACTAAATGGGGAGGAATAGTACCATATGCTCATTACGATCAAGGGTGAAACGCTAGGGACCCCCTTGGACTCCAAAGGCACCTTGCAAGGACCCCGCAGGCTTTGAGGCCCCAAGAGAAACTGGCGACTCCTGCTACTGCGACCACAAGCAACTGCCCAAATAATGTGATCCGACTCCAGCTATTCCGATTTGACCAAGAGGGGAGAGCGACTGCTCCCTGGCCAGGGCAAGGGCCCCCGGAGGCCGAGAATAGCGGAACACCTCCCGTCGTGTTTTTGTTTTGTCGCAGCGCGAGGAGGTCTGGGTTCGGCGCCCTGCTCGTCTTCGAGGCCTCGGGGAGGGCCTCGGGAGCCCGAGGGCGACGCAGAGGAGGAGGGGAGGAGGAGGAGGAGGAGGAGGAGGAGGAGGATCTGACCAAGAGGGGAGAGCGACTACCACAGAGGATTCATGTCGCCCAGCGGAGCGAAGGGCGCCTACGACCGTGGCGAGGGAACAACGGAAGTGGGGACGATCGATCACGTGCACAAGCGTGCGAGGTCAGCTTGAAGAGAGCAGGCCACGTCCTTCAGTCGGTGGCAAAGGGCATCTGGCGCGAGCTGGAGACGACGAGGGACCACAAGCGTACGCTGGCGATCTCCATGGTCCGGACCACTATAGGCAAGACGAGCACGGTGGCCGAATACATTGCCAAAGAGGAATACGGTGGGGGCGTTGGTTAAGGAATGTGCCCAGGAGGCTTCAGACACCGGGGGACTCCTTGTCTGGTAAATGCGCCCGTGATATCCATGGCCAATCCACGATCGAAGTTCCAGTGGTTTCGAAACCCTGGATTCCTTACCCATCGGTTCCCTATTCAATGCCCTCACCGTACTACTACCAGCTGAAGAACCAGGTCAACACGATAGAGATCGCGGTTCAGAAGATGGCCCAGACGCTCAGCATGTTGCACGAGAAGGTTTACGAGGATTTCGAGTACTGCGCAGACAAGGACTACGCGGAACCGCAGGCCCAGCTCGTGCAGGACAGCGGGAAGGAGGTGCTGAAGATCCAAGCGAATGGGACCCCCGACCAACCGCCGTGGAAGCACGGTGACCTGAGCACATGTTCCTTTGCGACTGGCATCAGGAGGACCCGTCAAATTGGATCGAACCACAGGAGTACCAGCGCATGTGTGGGGGAGAGGCGGAGCGGCGGGCACGAGCGCAAGCAGCAGCCCAAGCACTCACCAAACGAATGCGCTGAGGGCGAGGATCAACGAGCTCGAGCAGCAGCTGAAGGGCAAGGGCCCAGAGAAGGCGAAGAAAGAGGACGATGACTTCCCCCCGAAGGCGCCTACGACACCCAGGGCCTGAGACGACGGCCCGCAGCGAGGATGACCAGCTCAAGAACAGTTGCTCACACTGCGATCGGTCGCCCTCCTCTGTGCTGCGCGGACGTCGAGACAAGCGCGCGGCCTGGGCGAACGCGGACAGATACGTTACTACTGCACAGCATACGGGAGTTGCGGGATACTGCTGGGAGGAGAGACGCATGAAGAAAATCTTACCCTCAGAGATCGGCTCAGAACAAGAGCAATCTGAGCCAATGAGCAAGCCAGCGAAACCTTAATTCGGCCACGGGGTCCACCGAACTAGCTTTTATTAGGAGAGTGGTTGGCGTAGGGTGGGGTGGGGTGGGGCGAGGGGGAGGAGGGCGCGCGCCCGCTCCACAAGCACAAGAACCCCGCAGCCGCTCGTCCGGCCGTCGCCCGTCTCCTGCCCTCTCCCCCCCACCCTTCAAGTGCTGTCGAACTGAACCTCTGCAGGGGGCGCCCCTTCCCCGCGTGGCGGCAGCGGGCCGAGCCCATCGCCCGTTCCCGCGTGCAAGCCCACGGAGAGGGTCCTGCCCAATTGTCAAGTCGCAGGGATGCCAGAGGAGCCCATTCGGTTTTTCGGCCGAGCGGGCTCATCTCCCTAAGCGCGTTACGTTACCTCCACCTCCTCCTCCTCCTCCACCTCCTCCTCGTCCTCCTCCTCCTCCTCTTCCTCCTCCTCCTCTCCCTCCTCTTCCTCCTCCTCCTCCTCCTCCTCCTCCTCCTTCTCCTCATCCTCCTTCTCCTCTTCCTTCGCCTCCTCCCACCTCCCCCTCCTCCTCCTCCTCCTCCTCCTCTTCCTCCTCCTCCTCCTCCTCGCGCTGTGTTTCCGAATGTGCTGTGCTTGGCGCTCCTGAGCGTTTCGCAGGAGGTTCCGTGCGACAACGGCGAGAAGTACTTCGGTTTCACCAATGTGGGATGGGGGCCGGGGCCGTTGCATTCACGACGTACATTGCCGTGCCTCGCATTCCTGCACGTGTTTGTTCGCCGCATGTGTGTGTGTGTGTGTTAATGCGCGATGCTTTTCGTGCCTCAATGGATCTGGCCTTTGCAATGTGTGCAAGCACAGATCGAAGACGCCTGCGGCGAATCACCGCCGCCCTCTTTGCCTGTCTGCCAGCGCAGATGTGGTCAAACGTTGGGCCAGAACTTGGCCAAACTATTGGACGACGTAGTCCCTCAGCCGTTTCGGAAGCCCGTGGGGAGACACTTGGGGGAGGAATATGGGCAGGAGAAGGGACGCATGATGATGATGATGCGGATGATGGTGATGATGATGATGATGAGGAGGAGGAGGAGGAGGAGGAAGAGGAGGAGGAGGAGGACGACGACGACGACGAGGACGAGGACGAGGACGAGGAAGACGAGGATGTGGCCTCAGGTCTCTTGAGGGCCTCTTGGGGCCTTCTGGGCCGGCTGGGGCCCTCTTGGTGGCTTTTTGGGGTCATCTGGGGCCATCGTGGAGCCAAATTGGGCTGCCATTGGGCCACATTGGGCCATGTTGGCGGTCCTGGAAGCAATCTTGGACCGTCTTGGGGTCGTCATGTGGTCTCTCTGGGGGCCTCTCGGGCCGTCTTGGGCCATTTTGGAGGTGGGGTGTTCTCGAGGGCGAGAACGCCGAGATCAGCTCCGAGATGGTCCAGGGGAGTCCTTGCCAGAGGGTTCCGCCCATGAGCGGCAATCCATTACATGTTATTCCTCGGTTGCACCCATGGAAGCTACGAAGGGGGCGTTCGTTAAGGAATGGGCCCAGGAGGCTTCATACCATGGAGGGCTCCTTTCCTGATGAGGGCGGCGGTGATATCCATGACGCAGTCCCAGTGGGTGTTACACCAGCTTTCAGACCCTGGGTTCCTTACCCAACGCGTCCTTATCCAATGCCCTCACCGTAGCCTCTGGAGCAGATATCTAGAGAAGGGGGGATCACAGGGCGTCCCATTGGCCGCATGCAGTCCCCCAGGGCACCTTTCGGATACGTAAGGCTTTCAGCCGCCAAGGCACCTGGGTTCTGAAGTAATTCAAAGATCCCCACATGTTCCCTCGGAAGGTGCAGGGAATGGCTGTTTACTAGCATCGAATGGCCTTTGGCCCATCCCGCCACTGTGCCTGGGTTGTGGGTCATAGGCTTCTAGAATGTTTGTTGGGATGTCGCGGGGGGACCTCTCGGGGGCCCTCTTGGGGGCCCTTTTGACGCTTTGGGACGCCTACTGGGGCACATTCGGAGCCTCTTAGGGGTCTCTTGGGGCCTCTTGGGGAGCGTCTTGGGTCCTCTTTTGGGCCTCCTGGGGGCCTCTCGGGGCGGAAGACTCGGATTTCTGGTTCGTGGTCCACCTCGTGGGCCCTTTTTCGGGCTGTCTTTGGGTCGTCTTCGGCCGTTTTGGGCGCATCTGGGGCCGTCTTGAAGCCCTCTTGGGCCGTGTTGGGGCCCTCCTGGGGGCCTCGTGGGCCGTCTTGAGGCGGTCCGGGAGGCCTCTTGGGCCGTCTTGGAGCGTCGGGAGCTCGAAAGGTCGAGGACCCCAAAATCATCGACGAAGCTGTGGGACATCAAGAATTTGGGCCTCTCGGGGCCTTCTTGGGGAGGCTCTTGGGGCGTCTCGGTGGCCTCTTGGGCCGTCTTGGGACCATCTGAGGCGTCTTGGTCCCAGACATGCAACGTCCTCATTTTTTCAAGACGGCGTCCCCAGAAGTCCCGATCCTTTCCCCGGGGCCGGTTTTTCATCCTGAGTCGTTTTTTGACGGTCTCGAGGCCTGGCGGGGGCCCCCCGAGGCCGAAGTTTGCCAAAAACCTCGCGTCCTGATTTTTGTTTACGACGCAATCTTCGAGCGTCGTGGGGTCCTCTTGGGCCGTCTCGGGGGCCTCTCGGGGCCTTCTGTGGGCCCGTCTTGGGGCCCTCCTTTGGGTCCGAAGAGCACTCGCCGAGCCGCGCCACGGCCCGGGTTGGCACGCCGGGAGCCCCGGCAGATTCGCGAGTGTTGGGTGCGGGCCCCTTCAGATCGGAGGCGGTGGCAGGGGCGAACAGCCCAGGTGAGAGCAGTACACCCAGACATGATCGCGTCGTAAAAAGTCAGGACGGGAGGTTACCAGCCAATTTCGGCCTCGGGGGGCCCCCGCCAGGCCTCGGGACCGTCGAAGAACGACTCAGGATGAAAAACCGGCCCCGGGGAAGGGGTCGGGCCTTCCGGGGACGCCGTCCTGAAAAAGTCCGGACGTCGCGTGTCTGGGCATGTATCCAGGGGCGCCGATGGTACATGCCTTCGGTGAGGCTCCCGGGCGAATGCGTGTAACGCCCGGCCCTGGGCCACTCGCCCTCATCGTCGCCGCCGACCCTTCCGAGACCTTAGGATCCAGGGCCGAGGCTCTGGGGATCGGGCAATGGACCTGCTGACGCGCCCACTCCGTGCCCAGCGGCACGGCGGCGGATATCCGCCACAGGCTTCGTCGCGGGAGGCAGCTTTCATCCGAGCATGTTCCCTGGGTGGAGGGCAGAGGGCGAAATACGAAACGCCGTTTCGACTGATTGTCGAGGCTTGAGTCTGCACGAGGTGGAGCACAAGACGGATTGGATCCCGAGGTGCAAAAGCCCATATACGGATTTCACCCTGAGCCCTCCGCCCCAAGAAAGTGCTCAGTGAATCCTGGAACAGAGCCCTGCTGCACGGCACCGCGCTGTGTTCGGGGGAGCGTAAGACCCGGGTTTGCCGGGACTCGGGTTCGCCATCGTTTTTTGACGACCGCGACTCGGATTTTGACGAGGAGGAGTTTCGTGGGATGTCTGCAGCGGGAGGCCTCGTCAAAATGCAGGCTCGGCCTCGTCATTTTTTGACGACCTCGTCGGGGATTTCCGAGTCCCCCGTACCCGGGTCTTACGTCTCCCCGATGTGTGCCGTGCCCGCCACCGTGCCGTGCCACCGCGGCCGCCGTCCCCGCGTGCTGCAGGGCGCCGCGCCGTCGTGCCGCGCCCCTGCGTGCCGTGGCCTGCCGTGCCGCGCCCTGCCCGCGGGTCGAACGGGCCGCGCCGCACGCGCGCCGCCCGCGCGCCCCGTCCGTGCCCGGGCCCGCGGGCGCGCCGAGCCAGCCGCCCGCGCGCCGTGCCCACGCCGTGCCCGCCATGCCGCGCCGCCGCGTGGCGGGGGGCCGCGCTCGCGTGCGCCGCGCGGGGCTCGCGCGCGCCGTGGCCTTGCTGGGGCGCGGCGTGTCCGTGCGCGCCGCCGTGTGGGGCTGCTGTGCCCGTGCAAGTTGTGCGGCGGTGGGCGGGGGGGGGGAAGTGGGAAGGAGAAGGCCTTCTCAGGAGGCGGCGAGGCTTCTCAGCAGCCTTCGCGCCTGCTGAGAAGTGTTTCGTCTTCGGGGGGAAGGCTTCGAAAGCTTCTCGGAATGCTGGGGGCCTTCCGAGCCTTCTGAGAAGGCCGTCTCCTTCTTGCTTCCCCCCCTCGCTCGCCGCCGAGTTGTACTTCGCGTGGCCCCCAGGAGCGCAGAGGAGGAAGAGGTGCCCATACCGCTGCCCCTCGGCCCGTTTTCCTCTTCTTGGGCCTCCTGGCAGGCCCTCGTCGCCACCGCTGGATTCGCCTCGAAATTCTGGCCCGAACGCAGCCCGGGAGCGGTCCGGGGAGTAGCTTTACCGGTGCCGCTCGAGTTCCCCAGGAACCCCGCATGCGTAGGCGACAGCGGCGGCTTGGCGCCCAGTGGTGTCCCTCCAACCCCCCCCCCCCCCCTGGCCACGCACCAGAGGTCACCCTTGCCCAGGGTCACTCTTGAGTGTAGCCGACGTGTGACGTATGGCTTTTGCCTCTCAGCCATCGGGGCCTCCTCCAGGCCCCCCCTCTGGTTCCAGGACTCCTCAAATGTGTCTCTGGGCGCAACTTAGGAGGGTATGTTAGACGAGCCCATTCAACATATCCAACAAGAGCTCCTCTCGAACAGGTTCGGGATCCACTGGGACCTCGCTGGCCTCCAAGGCAACCTCTACATATCTAAAGGTGTGTGTTTGCTGACGCTTCTTTCGAATCCGAAGCACCTGTTGGCCCCGAAGTGCGTCTCCAGAGGGGACCGAAAGCTTTCTAGACACATCCATCGTAGAGTACCATCCGGGTGATAAGGAGGGAAGGGTGGCGGGAACTTGCGTACTGGTTTTCTCGACGGTCCTATCGATTTGATCGGTTTGCATGTCGAAGGCAACAGGGCTCGCATTTCGACTTGCACGGTGATTTCAAATGGGTTTGCTTCCTGAATGTCATGTTGATGCGCAGTTCGATGTGAAATTATACTGCAAGTGGATGTGCATCTCGAAGTTCATTTCGATTTGCACTGTGTTGCGATCGGATTTGCATCTTGATGTGCATGTTGATATTCGTTCGATTATTTCGTCTTCTGCATTTGAATTTGCATGCTGATGCTCCCCCCAAAGCAGCGAATACCTTACATGCCTGCGCCACGCAGCCGTTGGCACCTGACGTGTTTGCGCCTGGCGGGGTGTTGGTAATCTCCCAAAGTCAAAGTCACTCAAACGCATCAGTCTGGAAGGCGCGTGTTTTGCGGGCGCTTGGCAGGGTGGTCTGGGGGGGCCTCCCGAAGTATTCTTGATCGTGCAGCCGCCTTGGAGGCCGCTTTAGAGGAGCCCGTCTCGGAGGCCGCCTTCGGGACGTCGTGGGCTCTCTTGGAGGCAGTTGTGAGCCACTTGAGTTCTCCTGGGAGTCCGTGGGGTCTTGTGAAAGGTTACACGTCGTTCATTTCTGATTCCACGAGAGGTCTTTGATCTTGTGGGGCCAAGATCCTTCCATTTCTAATTCTTCTATCCTGGGCCTCTTCCTGGCCACTATGGGAGCCAGGAACAATTTGAAACGAGCACAATCAGAAATGAGGACGATTATACATGAACGACGTGTATGTGGGACCTTTTGTGAAGCTACCTTGGTGCCAGAAGCGTGGGGAGCACCAAAACTGCACGAGAAGAACCCAACGATCTTTTCTGGAGCGGGGATGTCATATCGCGGAGACCCCTGGCGCAGCGCAATCTTGGAGCTTCTGGGGGCCTCGATGGCACTACACTGGGGGGTCGTCGGCCGTCTTGGAAGTTCACGCTGCCATTTGGAAAGGGCAGCAGGGGCTCTCCGAGGTCACATCCAGGCCTCCAGAAAGGCCAGGAGGGGCCGTCTGAGGGCCACCTGGGCCATCCGATAGGTTTTTGTGAATGTGTGCGGAGTGTGTGTGTGTGTGTGTGTGTGCGTGTGTAGGCCATTCGTTCTTAGCGTAAAGTGAACAGCATTAGATACGTAGTACCCCGCAGTTGTTGATAAGAGTGTGGGGGCGGCGGGGACGTCGGCAGCCTGTGAGACTCTGAAGAAGCCCACCGCAGGCCCATCAATATTGCTACAAAGTATACAACGAGCTCGCCGCAGGCGCTGATTTTTTCGTTCAAACAATGCTGGTGGGTCGCGGGGTGGGTCGCGGGTGGGTCGCGGGTGGGCAGCGGGTGGGTTGCGGGCAGGGGCGGGGGTGGGTCGTGGGCGGGTCGCGGGGTGGGTCGGGGGTGGGTCGCGGGCCAGGTCGCGGGTGGGTCGCAGGCCATGTCGCGGGGGGGACGACGACGACAGCAAGCAACAAACAAGCAACAAGCAACGAGCAACAAGCAACAAACACAACAACAACAACAACAACAACAACAGCAACAACAACAACAACAACAACAACAACAACAACAACACCAACAACAACAACAACAACAGCAACAACAACAACAGCAGCAACAACAACAACAGCAACACCACTAGCAACAACATAAAAAAACGACACAACGACGACAACAACTACAAACAAACAATCAAACAAACAAACAAACGACGACGACGACGACAACAACAACAATCCGCACCGCAGAACCTCACTTCAGCCACGCGCCCAGGGACAGTGAATGACCGTTCGGCTCTCTCACTCTGATTCTCGACGCCGGCACCGTTCGCAGAGGCGAGAGTGGGGAACGCGAGTGTCTAGGGCCCCTCCGAGGCCATGGACCTGGCCGGCAGCGGCACGCTTCCCCAGACCGCCGACCAGGGCACCCTCGGCACGGTGGAAATCGATCCGAGAGCACACGAATTGCGCGTTCCAGAGGGAGACCAGGCTTCGCGGAAGGCCGGCGGAAGTAGAAATCGGCGGCGGGTTCGCCGGCGGAAGGTCGGCAGAAGGCGGCGGAGGTTCACCGAGCGCGTTCCGCTACTCGCAAAGTGTCAGCTGGCAAACGTGCAGGACAAAATGTCTTCCTATATGTAATGGAGCGTCAATTCCCCGCGGCGGATCCAGGCCACTGGCGAGTAGTCACGTTGCGAGTCGTGGGGCGCGCTTTTCTAGAGGTACAAGTTGGGTAGGCATCTGTTGGCATCGCCCTAGCACAGCGCGCACGAGTTGTCGTGGGGAGTGCAGGGCGGTCGGCGGGAGGTTGCCAACACGTGCTACGTCAACAGCGTGCTGCAGGTCGGTCCGGCCGCCACTCGGGCGCGGGGCGTTTCCAGGGGGGCACTGGGTCGAGGACTTCAGCGAGCAATTGAAAGTTGATTCGGTCACCTCGCAACGTCGGACGATTGGCCAGAATGGCGGTAGTGGGCGACGCCGTGAGTCGCGGTAGTGTTGTCCAACAGGTGAGTCGTGGGTTCGATTCCGTGGCCTCCAGCGTGAAGTGCTGTCTCACTGCCCTTCGGTTGGGGCCCGTTGTCTTCAGTGTTGGCCGTCTCTTCTGCGGGTTGCGACTGTGGGCGCGGAGCTGCTAGCATGAGAGGGCAGGAGGGGGAGGCCAGCGAGAGCACAGGTCCTGTGTCGCCGAAGTATCGAAGTTCTCGTATGCACGTTGCGGTGGAATGGCGACCGCGCGCTGTGCTGCGCCACGCGTGCAGCTCGTTGCTTGTTCTGCTGCCCGGGAGCGTGCGGAGCTCGGCGCGGGCCCCCACACCGCAAGGGTTCTCTGGGAGGGCAGGGGGAGGACTACACCTTAGGCGATGCTTAAGAAAACCTAAGTTTTCGGCCAGAGTCTCGATTATTCTTAACGTTTCAATGTAAATCCTAAGATTTGAATGGAAATTTTCGGTTTTTATTCAAGTTCTGAGACTATGAATTTCTTAACCCATGATTTCTAAAGCATTTCGCAGGGTGTATGCCGAGGAGCAGGCGGCGGAGCAGGACGACCCTGAGACCCTGGCGTCCTATTTTTTTTCCAGGCGGGCGTAATCGTTTTTTTTTTTTTTTCTGGCCCCTTGGGCCCTCACAGATCGACCGGATTTGAAACATGACGCAGTAAGGTGGGGTCTGGGGTCCTGGGCGTGATTTTTCGCGATGCTGCAATGTTCCACAACGCCAGATCACAGGGGAGGACGAGGATGAGAAGGATGAGAAGGAGTGACCCTTCGCCAGAGTGACCTTTGATGCGGGCTCAAAGGGCCCCCCCAAGACTGCCATGCGCGCTTGGATTTGGCCTACCCGCGGCCCCCAAAGCCGCGCACCAAAGGTCACTCTTTCCTATGGTCTCACTCTTGCGTGAACTCTGGGGGAAGAGGAGAAGGAGGAGAAGGAAGAGAAGGGCGGAGGGGCAGAACGAGGAGAAACGAGAAGGGGGGGGGCGGGGATGAGAAGAGGGAGGAGGGGGAGAGCGAGGGGAGTTGGGCAGTGGGATGAGGGAAGGCGGGGAGATCCTCCTTCCCTCGTGCACTGCTGGCCTCCGTATCCACCGCCTGGAATTGAGCAGCCAGCTGCCCTCCCTCCTTCCTCAGCCCCCCCCCTTCCTCCTCCCTCCACCCCCCCTCCCTCCTCCACGTTCCTCCTCCGCTTCCTCCTCCATCGCTCGATCCCTCCATCCGTCCTCCTATGAATTGGACCCCCCCTCCCCCCCCCCCTTCCGCCCAGTGTCGAAACGCCGAATAAGAACACGTTCACTTGTGCACCCTGGAGAGGGTATACCCCTGGCTCTCCTGCACGCTCCGGGCGTGCCGCAGAGGCGCTGTACTTCTGCACGCGCTTCCGACGAGCGGCGATGCGGACCCTGAGCGAGGACGGGCGCCCCCTCCCCGGGGCCCCCGGCGCGGCCCGGCCTCGCTCTCTCGCCGGCCCGGGGGCAGAGCCGAGGGGGGTCCACCCGCCTGGGGTGGGGGCGTCGCCGCCTCCCTCTGTCAGGCGATCGCAGGCACGGATCAAGGGGGCGTGTGGATTCGCGACGGGCCCCGTCTCCATGGTAAATCTCGCGGATTTCTGCCGCCGGGCGAGGCGGCACTGGCCGCATTTTGGGGAGGGCACCTGCCCCGGTCCATGGATTTGGCGGCCGCGCGCCAGATCCATGGATCGCTCATCCATGTTTGCGCGCCCCCGATTCTGTCGGGGCGATAGGAACGGGCCTGGAAAGAGTGGGCAAGATGCCCCGCAGCAGCAGCCTGTTCCTTCCGAGCAGGACTCGCTGCTCGCGTCGCCGCGGGCGCTGCTCTTTGAATGCAAAAGCGGCCGCCTGCCCAGCAGAGGCCACAGTCGGTTTGGGATTATGATGTTCCAACCTACTTTAGCCTTGATCACCAGGAAGATTTTCGAGCACCAGGAAGGTACCGAAACTCGAGGGTTGTCACGTGTCGGGCCCTGGGGGACACTCGTCCGACACTGCTTCGACACTGTTTCGACACGTTTCCGGATGCTCGAAATTATGTCTGGGATGTGGTCCTCAAGTGCGATGGGAGCCACAGAAGTTTGGGACGGCACCTGTTGCTGGGCACTGCACCCGTTTTTGTTTGTCCGTACCCACTTCGGGCGCCCAGGCTCTGGAGGGATCGAGGGCCCGGAGCCCCGAACCCATGTCTCTCTGCGGCATGTTTCGAGCCGGGTCGATCCGTGAGGGCTCCCAGAGAAATGGAGACGCCAGGATCTCAGGGTTTGTTGTTGGCCACTGTGCTTGTTTTTGTCCGTACCCTCTTCGGGCGCCCAAGCTCTGGAGGGATCGAGGGCCGAGCGGGAGGGAGGGGCTCAGGGCCCCCGCGTGTCAGAACAAAAGCGCGACGGGAGGTTTCCTCCCTGTCTTCGGCCTCTGGGGGGCCCCTCTTTGGGCCTCGGGACTGTCAAGAAACGACTCAGGATGAAACGCCGGGGAGGAGGAGGGGCGGCGGAGGCGGAGGAGGAGGATGAGGAGGAGGAGAGAGTGAGTGAGAACAGTTGCGATGCGAGTCGAAACGACGCCTACGGATGCTTGCGAGCTATCTTCTCAGCCTTGCTTAGAGCCTTCGGCCAACGATCGGACTCGATCCGATTCAAATGCACAGCTCGATTCGCATTCGTACGCCTGAGACAGACCTGCTCCAAACATCGGATGACACTACTGGCATGATACCCGCACTGTCAGCAAAACCAGAGGCCCATGGAACGACGCGAACTCATTGAGTGACTACTGTGTACCCAGCCCCCCCCTTACATGTAATTCAACCCCCGACGGAGGAGGAGGAGCAGGAGCAGGAGGAGGAGGAGGAGGAGCAGGAGGAGGTGGAGGAGGAAGAGGAGGAGGAGGAGGGAGGAGGAGGAGGAGGAGGAGGAGGAGGAGGAGGAGGACGAGGAGGAGGAGGAGGAGGTGGAGGAGGAGGAGGAGGAGGAGGAGGGGTCGGGGCCTCTGGGGGTCGACGTTATGAACAGGAACACACATGACCTCGGGGTACCGGGGGTCGAGGCTCGGAGCAGGTCTTGGTCTTGGGCCCGTGTCCGATCGTCGACCAGCTTCGGGTTGCAGCACGGGGCGTGCCTACCAAAACGGTCTCGGACACCTCCGGGCGCCTCCTCGGGGAGAGCTCCCCCCGGGGGGGCTCCCCGGGGGGTCGGGTGGGGGGGGGCCGCTCCCTGGAGGCATCGGCTATACGCGCAAGAGGGGCCCTTCGCCGGAGTGGCCTGTGGCACGGGCCCGCTGGGGCCGCCCGCTCGCCGAGCACGCGCTGCGATGGTGTCGGGGGTGGACAGAACCCCCAATAGTGACACGTCGATTCGTGAATTGTCCGTGTTCGGTTCTCGAGAGGGCGCCGTGGCCGTCATTTTCCAGGCTGGCGCCCGTCAGGTTTGGGCCTCAGGTCGTTTTCACGAAACCACGTTTTGCTAAAGTCAGGAGGAAAAGAAACACACAGACACAATTAATCCTCGATTTCCAAGAAAATATGGGAAAATATGGGAAGTGGGCGGGAAGACAAAAACCCAGAAAATATGGGGAAATATGGGGGATTATTTTATTTGTGTGTATCTATTTGTGTGTCATTGGGCCCCTTTATAAAGGGGGGTCTGTCCATCCCCGAATGGTGGCGCCCTGCACGCTTGGGTCTGGCCACCGCCCCCGCGGCTCCCCGGGCGCCGCGCACCGGAGGTCACACCGTGCCCAGGCCCTGAGATCCTCCTCCTCCTCCTCCTCCTCCTCCTCCTCCTCCTCCTCCTCCTCCTCCAGTCCGGCGTAGCGAAAAACGGCGGCATCGTCGAAGGTCACGCCGGGAGCCCCAGACTTCAGTCAGGCCTGTCCCTCTGCAGGGGGAATGTTCAAAGATACGAAGGAAATAATCCGGGGACGATTTTTGGAGTATTTTTGAACATTCTCGGTGCATCATTTTTTTTAATCGCTTCGCTCATTCCGCCGGCCCTGGAGCCCTCTTTAGGGCCTCTTGGGGGCCTTTGGGGGACCTCTTGGGAGTCTCTTTGGGCCCCTTGGCGGCGTCTTGGGGGCCCCTGTAGCCTCTTTGGGGGCTCTTGGGGACCTCTTGGGTCAGGAGGGGGGGTAGTCGATTGCGCCCCTCCCCTCGGAGGCCACGATCCTCGCGAGGGGTGTCGAAAAATTGCCCAGTCTGGCATCTCTGATCCGAGTGTCCGGGGGGTCTCCCGGGGGTCTCCAGGGTACTTTTCGTCTGGGGACCCCCAGGGGCGGCCCCGCGCGTGCGAACTAGAATATTGTTAACGAGTTACCGGAGATCTTAGCACGCCCTTGGCCCGTTGGGCCGGCGAATTATTTTGAATTTGTCGTACAAAATCCGCCTGAAGGGGCATGCCCGACCTAACCCTACACCACATCTTTCTGCGTCATTTCTCCGAGCCAGATCGATCTGTCAAGGTCTTAGGGCCCGAAGCAGGGCGAAAACGCCTGGCGCGAAAAAAACTGCGATGCCAGGATCTCAAGGGGGCCACTCCTGCGTGTGGCCGAGTCCTGGCGGAGGCGGCAAACCACCTCGGAGGTGACCCCCAGAGGTCTCGACCCATTCCCCGGGACCGGTTTTTGTCGTTTCTTTGACGGTCGAGGATCTCCTCGCTGGCGGTGGCACCCTTGGTGGTGGTGGTGCTGCTGCTCCTCTCGGCGCCTAGCCTTGGGCCGGCCACGCTCAGAGGGGGTTGGGGGGAGGGGGGGAAGGCTCTTCAGAAGCACCCCCGCTTCCTGGCAGGCGTGGGCCTTCTGTATAACTAGATGTAGGGCCACCTTCCCCCCCTCGTGCGCGCCGCCAATCCCAGACACCCGACGTCATGTTTTTTTTTGTTTTTCAAGACCGTCGACCCCCAGCCCATTCCCAGGGACCAGTTTTTCACCGTGAGGCCCAGTGAGGGCCCCCGGAGGCCAAAAAAACAACGCACTTCCTCCCGTCGTGATGGTGCTTCACGGCCCGAGGTGGCCTGGGTCTCGCGTGTGGCCGAGTCCCGGAGGAGGCGGCAAGCCACCTCAGAGGGGCCACTCCAGCGAGTCCAGTCGGCCCGAGGGACGAGATCGAGGTCGGTTCGGGGAGGGCACCCTTGGACGTTCTGCTCGTCTTGGCCCTCGGAGCGTCTCATGATCTTGAAGGATGTTCTTCTGGCCTGGGCCCGACCTGTAGCCGAGTCCAGGATCATGATGCTCCAACCTACTCTAGCCTTGACCACCAGGAAGAATTTCGAGCGCCCCCAAAAGTACAGAAACTCGAGGGTTTTCACGTGCCGGGCCCTGGGAGGCACTCGCCCGACACTGTATCGACACTCTTTCGACACTCTTTTGACACTTCTCTCGGTGCCCGAGATTATTTTCAGGAGGGGAAAAAACACACAGACACAATTAATCGCCGATTCCCCAGAAAATGTGGGGAAACATGGGAAGGAGGGGGGAAGACAGAAACCCAGAAAATATGGGAAAATATCGGGAATATGGTTATTTGTGTCTATTTATTTGTGTGTCCCAGTTCCCCTTTATATTTCTGGGATGCAGTCCTTAAGTAGGAGGGGAACAACAGAAGCCCAGGAGGAGGCGGCAGGCCACCGAGGGCAGGATGCCTCCGAGCGCTCCCGGGAGTCGCGGGGCGCCCACCGCCCACCTCTCCGATCCTGGCCTCGCCACCCACCACAAACCACCCCAGCCAAACCCGAAGGCCTCGACTCGCCCTCCATGTCAACGAGGACAAATCCACCCCGACCCCCATAATCGGCGTTTACTAAACGGCCCCGTGCGTTTACTAAACAGCGCTTTCTTGTTGGACTCCTTCGTCGGGTGCGTTTGCTAAACGGTTGCGTTGTCGGGGTGCTTATTATCGGGGTGGATCTCCAGCCCTCTACCATGTCCAGTGGGGGCGGGGGGAGGGTCGGGGAACACTGCGCACAGCCGAGGGAGGCGGCAAGCCACCTCAGTGGTGGCCCCACGCCCTGCGCCCCTGCCCGGTCGGCCGCGCGGGGGGGGGCGCCGCCGCTCGGCGCCCGCGCCCCCCCCCCCGCGGGGGCGGGCCCCGCCACCCCGCGGGCGGGCCTGGGCGCCGCCCTCGCGCCGCGTGGCGGGCTCGTTCCAGCGCCCCTGCGCGCGTGCTGGGGGCGTGGCACGATCCGTGCCAAATCATGTCTGGACGCCCGAAATGGGTACGGACAAAAATGGGTACAATATGCCCAGCAGCAAATGTTGTCCCAAGCCAACAGCGGCCGCGGTTGGGCAGGCGGCCTCCTGTCTCAAATGGACACAGGCCGCGGCGACACCGACAGCGAGTCCTGCTCAAAATGAACAGGAACTGCTGTTGGGCATTGTACCCATTTTTTCCGTACCCATTTCGGGCGTCCAAGTCATGACATGCGGGCCATTGTCGCGCGTCGGCCGCGCGCGCATGTCGAACGCCCTCCAACACGTTCAGCACCGACGCGAGGGCGCCGTCATCGCCGGCGTGATCAGCATCGGCGCCGTCACTGGCCGTGCCGCCGTCGTTGTCGTCATCGTCACCAGCATTGCTACTATCATCATCGCGTCTACCCTTGTCGACGTTGCCATGATACCGCGCCCGCCCAAGTCGCCGACTCGCACTGAAGTGCCCGCTGGGAAGAGCCCAGCGGTCAGCGCCACCGCGGCCGCGTAGGTTGCGCCAAACTAGCTGGCCGCTTTGCGCGCGAGCATTGCCGCTAGCGCGGCCGCAATACTCGCCGCATGGCTTTTGCAAGCCAAGTTCCGGGTGGGTGGGTGGGTGGTTGGGATGATTACGCGAGCTATGAAGTAGACAGCTTCGAGATCGCACCATGTAGAGTTCACAGCGTAGTTTGCACACTCGATACTTGGCTCCAGCAAAAATTCCACGGGAAAGTCCCTCGGGGAAGTATGCACAAGTGCACGCAATGACCGCGTGACCTCATAGCCCCAAAATGGTAACACTTCAGCCCCAGGCCACCGACGATGACCTTCAAGCGAAACTGACATGACACCATGACCCAACATGGTCCCGACAGGGCATCTTGAGAGTCCCAGGCTGCCTATGCGATGACCTGTCTGATGAGTAGCGGGCGATGCCAAGACGGACCACGGCCAGAACATTGACCCAAACACATCAAGGGCGACCCAAACTGACCGAACAACGCCCGCACAATCCAAACATGACGCGAGTGCGATTCGAAAACGACCTAACGACAACTCCTAGATGCGCACAGTCTCGTTCGCAGGTCGACGCAAAGTTGATCTCAAGATGGCCCAACATGGCTTCCTGAGGCCCTGACGAGGGGTCCGCGGCGACAGGACAGCGCGCGCATCGCCCGAAGATGATATCAAAGCGGCCCCACCACGGCAGTCGTCCGTGAAGTGATGAACCCTTGCTTGTGTCCAACCGATCCCAAAACGGCGGGATCCTTCAAGGGCCCTGGATTTTGGTCTGCCTCATTGGGAAGGCCTAGCGGCCGGCGCCGCCGACCCTGAAAGGGGACGGCGACGACGACGGCGACGACGCTCTGGAGCTTTCCTTGGGGCTCTCTCGGGAGTCTCTTGGGCTCCGTTGGGGCTTGGGCTGGGGCCGCGGCGCCGGGCCAGGGCCATAGGGCCGGGGCCGGGGCCGAAGCCGAGGCTGGGGCCACGGGCGGGGCTGGGGCCGCGGGCCAGGGGCGCCAGGGCCGGGGCGGGGCCCGAGCGCCGGGGCCGGGGCCAGGGCTGCGGCCCCCCGGCTGGGCCGCGTCCGGGGCCTGGTCCGGGGCCGGAGCGGGGGCCGGGGCCGGGGCGGGGGCCGGGGGCGCGAGGGGGAAACGTATGTGGGTGGCGACCCCCCAGGGACCCCCCTCTCCCCCACCACAGCGCGCGGGGACGGGATCAAAGGGAAGAGGCTTCCCTTCGATTCCATTCCGATGTTGCTCAATTTTGCTGTGGACGGCGCGGATGAGGGAGAGGGCCCCGGCAAATGGAGCAGAGGAGGACGGAGACGACGATTCCAAGGAAAAATCAGAGTCGAAGGTCGGCGGATTTTTAAAGGGTGGGCTTTTGATTTGGCTCAATCAAACGTATGATATTATAACATGGACTAAACTCGGCGGGATCCCGCCCGACCCAGGAAGGAAAACTACTTGGCTGGGCTTCTACGGGGGCAAGAGGTTCGGAGGGCGCACTGTTACTACCGCCGGCTTCCCCTGCCCTCGCAATACTTCTGCCGCCTTCCGCGCAACGAGCGCCATCAGAGAATCCAGAGAATCTTCATTGGGCCGATGTATTGCGCAACAGATTTTGCACTGCGTAGAGTGCACCACTCACATTAACCACATGTATTGTACAGTAATGATATCTCGTACTTCAACGAGCACACCACTTCTACTTCACGACCTAGGTTGCACAATCTATGTATATATATATATATGTAATGCACAACGTAGATTTCACACCATAGACTGCTCCGCATGGGTTTGTCCACAGAGATTGCACAACCGATGTTGCTAGAACTGCACAGTTTGGGGCCCAGGTTGGCTGACATCCCTTCTTTGACCGATGGTGGCCATATCCGTCATTCCTCCTCCGCCGCCTCCTCCTCAGCATGCCGCCCACCGTCGATCGAAGGCCACTGCCCCCGCCTCCACACAACGCGCAGAGCGTGGGCAATTGTAGGCATGCGTCAGCTCGCTGACGCGCTTCAAGCGAGCGGCCGACTGGCAGGCGGCATCCTAAACACCCGTTTCTTTCTCCGCCTCCGCTGCCTCCGCCTTCGCCTCCGCTGCTGCTTGCTTGTGGTCTTCTCCTCCGCTGTCTTCTCGTGCTCAGCTTCACCATGTCCGAGGGGCATCGCACTGCTGGACTACGCGACGTGATCACTCATGGGGGGCGGCCCACAACCTCAGAGCTCTATGCGGAGTTGGCAAGTCTAACGTCGCGAAGGCTCTCGCAGGACCGCTGCGAAGGGACTCCATGGGGGCGGCGCGAGGGCGCGAAGACGACGGCGTTTCGCGCGGCGCGGAGCGCGAAGTTACTGCTGGCTCGCGGCACTCCGACGCGGCGTCGACGCCAGCGCCGTCGTTGAATGACGAAGGCCGCCGACGGCTGTAACGAGACCAATCTTGAGCGATCCCCGCTGCCGGACAGCGGGAACCGTTCAAGGTTGACCGATGTACGCGGTGGCAGAAACCAAAGTTCACGCCGTCATCGTCACAACAGAAATCAGCAGTACCCAGCCTACCCAATCGTTCGATGGATTGATGCTCTAAGTCCATGGAACCCAGAGGTCTCGACCCCTTTCTGGGGCAGTGGTTCGTCACACAACCGTGGTTCATTATGTCAGTGCCCGAGAGAGGTCCCCAAAGGCAGAGGCAAATGAAGAACATCAGGAACAAAAGAGCATTCTTCCCAGAGTCTGGGTAAGTTTTCAAACATATTCCCCTGCTTCGTCGTCGCCCCAGCCAGGAGGAGGGCTCGGACGACGAATGCTTGCTGACCAGCCTCGCGCAGCTGTTCGCGCAGATAGAGGGTCGCCAGGGACAGGGCGTGGAAGACGAAGAAGAAAAAGGGGAGGACGGGGACGAGGAGGAGGAGGAGGAGGAAGAGGGAGGTGGAGAGAGGGTGGAGGAAGAAAAGCAACAGGATGATGAGGACGAGAAGGAGGAGGTGGGCAAGGAGGAGGAGGAGGAATATGAAAGGAGAAGGCGGCGCAGAAGGAGAAGAAGGATCACAAGGAGAAGGAGCAAACCGGGGGAGGAGGAGGAGGAGAAGGAGGAGGCTGATGCTGCGGGCGTGCAACACTCGAAGGCTTGCCCAAAAGAAGCAGCAGGAGGAGAAGCAGCAGGAGAATGAGAAGGCCGGCAGCGACAGGGCGTGCAGGAGGAGGAGGAGGAGGAGGAGGAGGAGGAGGAGGAGGAGGAGGAGGAGGAGGAGGATGGAGGAGGACCAAGTCCCCCCACATGAGTCGCAAGAGGAGGGGCAGGGAGGAGGAGGGGTGGAGGTGCAGGAGGAGGACAGGGAGGAGGAGGAGAGGAGGAGGAGGAGGAGGAGGAGGAGGATGAGGAGGAGGGGAGGAGGAGGAGAGAGGAGGAGGAGTAGGACAGTGAGGAGGAGAGGAGGAGAGGAGGAGAGGAGGAGGAGGAGGAGGAGGGGAAGGAGGACCAGAGTAGAAAGCCCAAGAGGCATCGACGACATGCTGCAGTACACCCGTCCCCAAGCCCCCCCTCCACACGAGGCTCTACAAGCCTGCACTCTCTCGCCACAAGTAGCGCCCCCCCCCCCACCCCACCCCAAAAAGACGGGCACTCCCCCTGTGGGCCTGCCGCTTCCTGGCCGCAAGACGCCCTCGATGTTGTAAAGCTCCCTCTCCTCCTCCTTCTCCTCCTCCTCTTCCCCCTCCTCCTCCTCCTCCTCCTTCTCCTCATCCTCCCCCTCCCCACCTCCTCCTCCTCCTCCTCCTCCTCCTCCTCCTCCTCCCTCCTTCCCCCCTCCTCCTCCTCCTCATCCTCCTCATCCTCTTCCTCCCTCCTCCCTCCTCCTCCCCCTCCTCCTCCTCCTCCTCCTCCTCCTCCTCCTCCTCCTCCTCCTCCTCCTCCTCCTCCCTCCTCCTCCTCCTCCTCCTCCTCCTCCTCTTCCTCATCCTCCTCCTCCTCCTCCTCGGCCTCCTCCTCCTTCTCCTCCTCCTCCCTTTCTTTTCGGCTGCACGTGCCTAGACCCTCTTGTCGTTATTTTCGGCCTCGTGGGGGCCCTTATCTTGATTTCTTCGTCGAGCGATGCGAAGAATGTTCGCAGATCTACAAGCAGTCTATGCATGTTCCATGGATTCGACGAACCAACAAATTCTGTGGTAAATGCATTATCTAGTCGATCCCCTACTCGTGACCGTGCCTCGGAACCGTCAAAAAGTGACGCAGGATGTAACACCGGTTTTGGAAAAGGCGTCCAGACCTCTGGGGGGCGACGTTCTGAAAGAATGATTCCGGAGAAACAACCCAGTCATACTGTTTTTAGGGCTACAGGGCTATGGGGCTATAGGGCTATGGGGCTATAGGGCTATAGGTATACAAGGCATGTAGGGCTATAGAGCTATAAGGCTAGAAGGCTATAGGGCTATAGGGCTATAGAGCCATAGGGCCATAAGGCTATAGGGCGATTGGGCTATAGGGCTACAGGGCTGTGTGGCTATAGGGCTACAGGGCTATAGGGCTATAGGGCCATAGGACTATAGGGCTATAGGGATATAGGGTTATAGGGCTGTAGGACTATAGGGCTATAGGGCTATAGGGCTATAGGGCTATGAGGCTGTAAGGCTATAGGGCTATGGACTATAGGGCTATAGGGCACCTGGGCACCCGAGCACCCGGCCTCCCTCTGCGCAGCTGATGCGTATGTCCACGGCCCGCGCGATGAAGACGTCAAGCAAGTTTTGTGCGGAAGCCAATTGCTGACACCGAAGCGCCCTCCATCCCCGCAGGTGATGCAAGCTCTGATGACGAGCCTGCGCGGCGCGGATGCGAGAGCGCCTCGTTGACAGAGCGACCCCGCCCGTCCTTGACGCTGCCGAGCGCTGTCAGGGCGACTGCGCGGGGCCCAGG